CTGAGGGCGGTAGCGGCTCTCTGTGGGGCTAGAAGACACTGCCTGCAAGAAAAAAAGACAGAAAACTGTAGAGGGATGCTTGGAAGGCCAAGATGTATACTAACCGCCTACTTAAACATTTTAAGTAGAGTGAATTTTCCACAATCTTCACTTTCTCGCGCCGGTCGCTGGTTCAGTGGGGATTGGTGATGATATTGAACTGCAGAGGGGTCCTCGGAAGACCAACATATATAATAACCGCTTAAGTCAGGTTATTAGACACACCGGCTTTTCAAATTAACCATGGGAATAATCGCTTGCTAACAACTTTTAAGTAGGGTGAATTTTCACAATATTTTTCGTTTGGCCGCCGTTTATCCAGTTGGGGTTGGGGACGGTATTTAAAAAATGTACCTCAATGATCTCGCCCTACGTCAGCGAACATCCCTACATACACGCGCTCACAGTTGGTCCAGTAGGGCTTAGTGATTATAGTAAAATGTGCCTCAGTGACCTTGCCCAAGGTCAACGAACACCCCTCAACTTACACGCATAACTTTCTTAATTTACATGATAATTGCGCAGTCATTTGTCCCCCGGTATGTTCCGCCCATTTTACCCGCGCGTACTGCGGGGACGCTACGATAGTTCCTTACCGAAAAGAGAACAAACAAAGATTTCGTGCATGTATGCATACAAACAGTAAATCACATAAGTGAAAGAGACAAACTAGGAGCGTGACTCACTGGCAAAAATTAAAGCGCTATAACAGCCCGACTTCGAGTGTTCAATTGAAGCAGGATGTGCCAAAGAGGGAAACAACTAGATACTATTCCGCTGATGTGTGGGTGGTACCATACAAACCAAATGCTATTGAGCTACCAAATAAATGATATTTAAAGCATCTTCTCCCTGATGCAAACTTGAAGATTGCACCAACAACAGAATTTAATGGATCCATAAACTTCGAGAGTGCTCATCAGATGCTTCCTCTTCCTGCATAACGTAAGCTAGGAGAAAACAAAAAGTTGAATTCGTACAGAAAAGGTCAGTAAGATCATAGAACCTGGTCACAAAGGCTAATCAGTAAAGTAAACATGTTAAAACACTATGGAGGCGCTACCTGGAGGCAGCCTATATACGGCAGTCAAACCCGACCTAGGTTAACACTTGAAGCATGTGTTTAACCCGACTTTGCCCTGGTAACATCCGGCTCTCTGATTTACACATTTCCCTACCCACCCCTTCGAGTTAACGACCTTCCTAACTTTTGCTTTCCAGTGTTTTAACATGCTTACTTTGTGAGCAGGTTCTATGACCTAACTGACCTTTTCTGTGCGAATTCAATCTTTTGTATTTTGTCATACGTTATTTACGTCGAGTAGCGAGAGGGCGCAGCTGATGAACACTCTCGAAATTTATCTATCCATTAAATTCTGTCATTTATGCTATCTTAAAATGAATGATATCGATTATATGACGAAATATCTGCCTGTCTGGGAAAAGGAGTCTTCGTTCGTGCATGCCCACAAAGTCCATAAGGTCAACTTCTGTCCACATTTTGTGTAAAAAGCTCAACTGAAAACAAAATTGATCTAGTCGAAACTGTCCGTGAAAATTCTCAAAAAATTCCCGGCTGCTAGAAGGTAGCAAAATCATACCATAGATTACATTGCTATACAGTGTACGCTTATCAAACGTTTTCCTCAAAATTGGTCATTTGGTAGGCAGACCATGCAGGCTAGATTAAACAGCAAGCGATGGTTTTTACGTTGGCTGAATTGTCCTGAGAGAGAGACGCAACCTTCACCTAGCACTTATTTACATTCAAAATGCTCCCAGTGGGTGCAGACGACTAGATATACGTGTTAAGGCAATGACTAGGCGGGCATTCTGCGATAGAGCAGATGCTTGGTGAAGCTACCAGAAAAGTGGCAACCCTTCAAATGCACGAAGCTCGGTATCGAGCCTCCCCTAGTCGGTTACAAGTTCACCTACCAGGGGGGACTGAGGCTGCCTGATGGTCTCTTGTTTCTCCCGCAGCGGGGGGTTAGAAAGCTCCTCCTTTTTGAGAGGGGGCACGCGCGTTGGCGCGGAGGTCTCCTCTTTTTTTAGAGGAAACTCCGAAGCGGAGACAGCAGGGGGCGGGAGATAGGGTCGTAAGTCGGAGGGAAGAGAAGACGGCTCAACCTTTTGAGGCGGATAAGGAGGTAGGCAGTGTCCATCTTTGGCAGGGCTGGAGGTCCCCTCGACCTCCTCCTTTTTTATAAAAGGTGCGGAAGTGGAGAGTGTCGGGGGCGAGCGAGAGGAACGTAGGCCAGAGGGAGGAGGAGGAGGAGATGGCTCAGCCTTCTTGGGAGGATAAGGAGGTGCGGACTGTTCATCTTTGGAGGCGCGCGAAGATGTCTGATTGCCACCGATTGGCGTAGGCTGCAAGGAGGCAGCTGCTAGGTCATTTGGGGCCGATGGTTTAACGCCAACT